CCACTGCACTCCAGTTTGGGCGACAGAGTGAGACTCCAACTCAAAAAAAAAAAAAACAAACCAGCAACCAAACCAGGTCTTTTCCATCCTGTCCTCTATTGATCTTGAACCTCCAGAGAAGGCTGTTAAAGTAAGAGTCATAGAGGAAATGGGTCATGGAGGTAGGAGGAAAGAAAACAGGTCAGAGCAAAAGCTTGAGACAGGGTAGGGTGATGGATCAAAGGGGACGGAGACACCCAGGAAATGGGCGTCAGGCTGGGGAGGAGGGCCCCGAGTTTGGGGACCTAAAGAATCATCAACTTGGCTGGGCTCGGTGGCTCAGCCTGTAATCACAGCACCTTGGGAGGCCGAGGCCAGTGGACTGCCCGAGGCTGTGGGTTTGAGATCAACCAGGGCAATTTGGCAAGACTTTGTCTCTACAATAAATCAAAAAATTAACCCGGACATGGTAGCCTGCACCTGTAGTTCCAGCTACTTGGAAGGCTGAGGCGGAGGGATCGCCGGAGCCCAGCAGGTCGAGGCTGCGGTGACTGGGAGTGACCACTGCACTCCAGCCTGGGTAACAGAGTAAGACTCCAACTCAAAATAAATAAACAAATAAATAAGAAGAATCGTCAACTTGAATAAGGTATTGAAGAGATAAAGATCAGACAAAGAAAGAACTCAGTGCACACAAGGAAAGAAGAGACTCCTGTAGGGCCAAGAGCTGGGAGAGGGGAGCTGCAGTATAGCTGGCTCATGAGGATGGGGAAACCGAAACAAACAGGGAGGACCAATGAACCAGAAGCGCGACCTCCCTGGCCTGGGTCTTCATTTTCTTCCTGGGTCTTGGGTTAAGGAGAGGTGCCATCACCAGCCTCCCTCTGCCCATCCTTGCTCTCCACCTCTCTGTACCAGGAAAAGCTGGGTTGGAGAAGAGGCCACACCTGCTGCTCTGGACACGCTACCCCAAGGCCAGACGAGGTTCTGGGGAGGAACCAGGGCACCTCTCTCCCGCTCTGAGACTCACTTAGGGTTAGGACTCCGCAATCAGGTATCTATCCCCCCTGAGAGCACGCCTCTCACCTGCTGGGAGAGCTGACGGAGGAAGGGGCTACAGTGGGTCTGGGCCGGCTGTGGGTTCAGTGATTCAAGGTAGGGTTAGCTGGCGACCACAGGAAAGGCAGCACCAGGAAGAGCTGCACTGAGGTCTTGCAGGAGCTGGTAGAACATCACCCCGATTAAATCACATGGTCCAGCTGGGTGCCTTGGCTCATGCCTATAAAACCAACACTTGGGGAGGCAGAGGCGAGAGGACTGCCTGAGCCCAGGGGTTTGAAACCAGCCTGGGCAACTTGGCAAGACCCAGTTCTACAATAAATCAAAAAATTAGCCGGCTGTGGTGGCGCGTGCCTGTAGTACCAGCGACGTGGAAATCTGGGGCAGAAGGATCACCTGAGCCCAGCAGGTCGAGGCTGCGGTGGCTGTGAGTGTGCCACTGCACTCCAGTCTGGGCGACAGAGTGAACTCCATCTCTAAACCGAAAAAAAAAAAATGTGGCCCTTGGCCAAGAATCTCCACTCTTGAGAGGAATCCCTGGTAAAGGAGTGAGCCCTGCATGGACGTCTGTGCACATCCACTCAGCCCAGAGAGGAGAGGAAGGCGGGGGAAGCGGCTTCAGCTGTGTAACAGGCTTCCTTGGAGCCCAGGCTTTCCCTTACCCAAGGCCAGTGGGGTCCGGGACCTTCAAGGGGGAGGAGAAAAGGGGAAGGAGGTGTCTGGGGATGCAGGGGCGGGGCTGAGAGCAGGAAATGATCTGGGAACCACCATCAACCTCCCGCAATTCAGGCACCACAGCCCAGAGCTGAAGAGAAGACAAAGAGGAAATGACAGATTGGGGTGGGGTGGGGTAGGGTGGGGTGGGGGGTTGTGCCCTTCTCTGGGAGGAGCTTGGAGTGCCAAAAACAAGCTGGGCTGGGCTGCCAGGAAACCCCAGGCTCAATCTCAAATTGAATCTAGAAATGGCTTTGAGTGGCCACTCCACGCCAGGCCCAGTCGTGAGCCGACACTGTCCCTGGTCCTGCTGGCTTCAAGGCCCACTCCAAGGTAACCAGGGAGAGCTGGCGAGCTCTGCAGATGCCCACACCTGCCCCCCCTCACCTCACGCCAGGCCTCACCCATCTCCCTCATTCTTGCCCTGTTCCCTTTTCCAGCATCTTCTCCTCTCAATCTCCCCACTCCCGAACCAGTTTCTCCTTTGCTCAGGGAGAACCAGAGAATCCCAGAGGCTGGAAATGTAGGCCATCCTGACCCCACATCCACACCTGTGGCCCAGCATGGTTGCAGCGGGGCCCGCGTCTGAACCCGCATCCCTAGGCTCCCTCCTCCAGCCAGGAAGCCTCCTTCCTCCACAAGCGCCATCCTCAGGCTCTCCTGGGCCCTTCTGACCCGAGGACAACCACTGCCCCTTCAGCCGCTGCTCCCCCGACCCCGCCACCTCACCCTCCCTCTCCTGTCCCTGACCGGTGTCTCACCGGTTTCACCCATCTCTCCTGGGTTTCCAGTATCCCCATCCTCCCCCATCACTGTGCCCTCAGTGCTCACAATCCAATCCCCTCAGCCACCCCATCCCGAAAATTGCAGGGGGCCACCTGCCTTCTTCACTGAGCCACATTTCCGGTCTTCCTGCTCACAGGTCTCCAGGATGGTGACCCCAGGCCACTGCCCCTTCCCTACGAGCACCGGAAGCTGCTTCTGCCCCTCAGACGGATCGGCTGGAGACTCCCCTTGCCTCTCAGCCACCCCGCAGCAGCTATGAGTGGACGCCTTACCCTCTTGGCCTGAGTGCTGCAGGTGCTCGTGCAGGTCACACCCAAACACCCGCTCCTTCGAGCTGCCCTTCTTCTTTCCCTTCTGCCGAGACTTCATGGCCAGAGCCCCGGGGCCCTGGCCCGGCCACTTCTGTCCCCCAAGACCTTTTCCCTACCAGTCCCCCATGGGATCCCAGCCAGCAGCCGGGCTTGGCCCAGCCCCAGGGGGGCCGGGCTCCAAACTGGGGGTGGAGGGTGGCCTGGGCAACAGGCAGCAGCTCCTGCCTCTGGGGCCCCGGCCACACGGAAGTGGCTGTGGAAGAGGAAGCTGCCAGGACCCTAGCAAGAAGCTGTGTCTCGTGGCCTAGCCGGGCACTCGCCCTCCTCGCCCCACTCAGCTCTGGGGGGCAGGAAGCTGTGCAGCGCCTCAAAACCCACTTCCTGTTAGAGCATCTTTGCAACCACAGGGCCTGGGGTGGGGGAGGTAGCCGACATTCACATCCTCACCCGCTGCTGGGACTTCCCTCATTGGTCTAGGGGAGGTGATGTCAGAGCCCCGGGGTGGATTGATGGTGCCTGGGGTATGAGCGGATGACTGATACTCTTAGAGACCAGGATTCTTGGGTCCAAGGTGGAGACCAAGGCTCCCAGGAGGTCAAAGCCGGGCTCTGCCTCTGATGGGGCTAATACCTCAGTCAAGTCAGGGTAGTTCACTGAGCCTCAGTTTCCACAATATGGAAATGAAAGGAGTGAATCGGGTAATCCGTAAATCCTTCCAGCTCTAACAGTCCGTAAAACTCACTCAAGTTTCCAATTCTTTATCTGTTGTCAATTTCACATGGCTGTTGGTGTGAGTCTCCTGTGTGATAAAGTTAAAATATTTTGCAAACCAAGGCACTGGCTATCCTGGAAAGGGCGCTTAGTGCCTCTGTCCACCTGGGGACTCTCTGAGATGGCCGAAGGTCTTGTGGAAGCCAGTTATTCCCTCCCTCCCAGGCACCCGGACCTCTCTCCTAGGTGGAACCACAGGAAGGATAGTGCTGAGGTGAACAGCATGAGGCTCGGGGCTCACACGGTTCAAGGACAATGCAGGAACCACAGCACACGTTTTGTCTGTTTATTTAAAAACAGAATGTCACTTTATGTACACAAATGCACATATTTACACACAATATACACATTAAGATCTTAGATCTTCAGGCTCCACATCCAAAGTCCTGCGTTGGCTAGGGAGCAGGGCATGGAGGTCTCACCTTCAGCCCAGAAACCCAACAGGCTTCAGGTCACGAAGGGTCTGGGCACCAAATCTAGATATGCTGGCTGAGCACGTGGGTGGGCAGATCAAAATAAACCTCACCCGGCCCCAGACCCCACCCATAGAAACGCGGGAAGAACCCTGGATTAGTGACCTGTGAGCCCTGGGGAGAAAAGGCACATCCTCACCCCAGCACCCCCTTCCCCTCACCTGACTGCCTACCCACCCTTGGTTTGTAGTCACCACTCTTTCTCCCCCACACCCACTGAACCAGGAGCCCTTGTCATCAAGTTCCAGCAACTCCCCAAGGGGCCACAAACAACGAAAAACAGAGACGAGGCAAGGGGAAGGCTGAGGGGTCACTAGGGTCGAGCACCGTGCACGTCCTCCTTGCCCAGTGACCACAGGGCTCACAACGCTAATTCTAGACTCTACCAGCTCCCGGGCTCCTCCCCAACGGGCTGCCTAGACGTCTCGGAAGGAGCACCTTTCAGACCCACAGGAACCAAACCCTGGGGTGGCCTCACTTCAAGCAATCCCAGTAAGAAACACTGGATAAATCAAAAAGATTTTTTTTAGTTTTTTCTCTTATTAAAGGATTCAAGCCAGGTATGGTGGCGCAAGTCTATAGTCCCAGATACTAGGAAAGCTGAGGCAGGAGGATCGCTTGAGCCCAGGAGTTAAAGGCCAGCCTGGGCAACATAGTGAGACCCCATCTCTAAAAAAATAAAAATAAATAAAAAATACAACTGTGAGACAGGGCAAGAAAAAAAGAGGAAACAGAAAGAAAAAACGATTTGGAGCAGTATTCCTGCAAGAAGCTCCCGTGTGCAGGTTTATTTACAGAAAACATGTATGTGCAGCAGGCCCAGAGGCCACCAGAGGGCAGAGGGCTTCTTCTGTAACAGTTCAGGCCTCTGGCAGACCCCTGGGCCAACTGCTCCACACCTGCGGGCAGCTCCCAAGTGGCGGGAGACCAGCTCCCTCACTCCGGCCGCCAGACGCCAGCTCCGGCTACGCCCGCACGCCTGGATCTGCCCGCTGTCCCCACCTGTGCCTCCAACCTCTGCATCATTAATACTGCTCTGGGGTCTGAGAAAATACCTGCCTTGACAGGCAGGGGTCACACACGGTCACACGACACACACACCATACCTGGCAGCGTCCCCGGCCACCAGTTCCTGTGGCACACCTGCCACGGTTCACCTGGACTCTGACATGACAGCACATACGTACCACATAGACAGTCGCTCGCCCTTCTGGGCACACACAGTCAGCACACACACAGTGACCCGCACACACGGTGGAGGGACTCAGTGGAGCCCTCCCGATGAACAGAGAGGTTGGAGGAAAAGATGGAGCAGTCAGTGGGCGGGGAGCCTCTTCCTCAAGAAACGGGTGCGTTTAAGGAGGCCCCCCACAGGAGCTAAAATCCCCCATGTCAGCAGAAGGAGTCAGGCCTGGGGAGAGAGGCAAGCCTGGGTCAGACCAAGTGCCCCCGCCCGTTGATGTAGATGCCATTGCCTGTGGGCTTGGCCCTCAGAGTCCCATTCTCCTGAACAAAATGATTCATGGCCTGTTTGATGCCTTCATCCCGGTCTTCCTCGTCCTCCACCCGGCCAGAGCCTGGAGACAGCAGTTCAGTCTGCGTCTCGATCTCCCTCACGGTGGTCAGCGTGGAGTAGCTGCGGCCCTCTGGCTCTTCACTCTGGAGACCAAGGGCAGAGAGCAAATCAGAAGCCAAGGCAGGGAGGGCGGTCAGGCATGATGGGGTTGGGTCACGGTGGAGTCGGAGCCAGGTACAAGCCGGGGTAATGGTTGCGCCCGAGGCATGGGGGGTCAGAGGTCAGGGGCCAGGAGCAAGTGTTAGGCACGGGGAGGGGGAGACGGGAGAACAAGGCACAGCAGAGATGGCCGGGCCGAGAGGGTCAGGACTGGCAAAGGGGCTGCTGATGCACTACATCTGGGACCAGGAGAGGGGCCTTAGGAGAGCAGTGGGGACACCGGTGGGGCCGGGGGCCTCACCATCACAGAGCAGCTACTGTTGTCCTTGAGACTATCAGGGTGGCCCTCGGCTCTCAGCCCTACACTCTCCTCCGGCTGCGGAGCCCAGACATGGGGGAGGGGTTAGCACGGAGCTCAGCCTCCTCCCCTAAGCCTCTTCCCCTCGTGTCCTCCACCAGCGACCTCCCTAATCGCCTTTCTCCCAACCCGACAGGTCTCTTTTCTCGTTAACGCAAACATCCTCATTCCTCCACGGCCACCCAAACCCACCCCAGACCAGTGCTGACGGTGGCTTCCCTGAGTAGCCCCTGGCCAGTGCTGAAGGGAGTCTTCAGGGAAGCCCAGAACAGCTACCCACCTCAACTCGACCCTAGCCCGGCCCAGCTATGTGTCAGCAGCCAGGCTCTGTGGAAGGCTGTGCTCCTGGCCTGCAGAAGGGACCAGGCTCAAGCAGACCCCAGGGTGCCCCATGGATGCACCCAAGCTTAGCACACACCTGGCTCCTGGGGTCTGAGTGATGGGAATGCAGCCTTCGGATGGAGTTCTCCCTGGTCAGGGTCAGCTCCTCCTCACTGGGAAAGACAAAAACCCACCCCCTTGTCAGGAGCTGCACGGAGTGGCAGCCTCCAGGGTGAGCCCAGCCCGGCCGGGCCTGTGGGAGGCAGGACTGGAGGGTGTGGGTGCCCTGCCAGCTCTGCACATGTGAGTGTGGGCTGCAGGTGGCAGTGTGGCTGAAGGGCACGGGTGTCCCACGCGTGTGTGCATACTGGTGATGCCAGGCACACAGATCTGATCCTCACACAGGCGGCAGGATTCCCCTCACCCTGTGCTCCAGGCCTCAAGTGCTTCCTCACCTCCCGAGGGACCCTGCCCATCTCTAGCCTATGGGGTGCCCAGTTGTCAGGCCACCCAGCCTCCTCTCTAGCCTCAGTCCTGACTCGGCTTCTGCTTGCCTCCTCTTTGTTCCCAGCTTAGTTCCCACCCAGGAGTGCCCCATGGATGCACCCAACCAGTACTCACAATTTCTGGGTCATCTGCTGGGCCTTGCGCCGATGGTATCGGGACATGAGCACCACCACCACCACCAGAAGGCAGAACAAGAGCGCGGCGATCACACCCACCACCACCACCGAGGCCGACACTAGGTCCACCTGCTTCCCTGAGTCTTCCTGAGGGTCTGCTGGAGACAGACCACTGTCTGAGGGGGATGCCCAGAGCCATGACCCATCCCAGACCCCAGGGCCCCTACAGGGTCCTCACAAAACCACCCCCTCAGCTCGACTCTCTGCAAAACACACACAGTCCAGCCCCTTCCAAATAATATTTTCTCAATCCATTCTCTCTGTCCTGCTTCCTGTTCCCCCCACCAGGCCCTCAGCCCAGGTCCCTTGTCCCTGTCCCCAGTGCTTACCAAGAACCTCCACAGTGACCTGAGAATCTCTTGAGGAGAATTCATTGCTGACACGGCAGACGTAGACACCACTGAGCTCACTGGTCAGGCGGGGGAAGCCCAGTGTGTCTCCTTCTGCTCGCACCCCGTTGGGCAGAGGCCCATCCAGCCTGGAGGACAGAGAAGCTGAAGGGTGCCGGCTGGGGAGGGCTGAGGCTGCCACCACCCGACGTGCCCAGGCAGCTCTCCACACCCCTCCCCCATGACGTCACCCAGAGCCGCCGGCTGTTCCCACGGTGCCCCTCCCTCCCCGGGGCAGGTCTAGGCAGAGGTCCCTTCTCTGGGCTGCCCAGCCTGACCTGGGCACCCCCCACACACACTCAGGGGAGATCCACACGTGTGCCAGCCCACACGCTCCCACAGGCATCACGTCACCCAGCACTGGGTACCAGACACACGCAATAAAGTCCACACAACAGGATGCTCCACTCCTAGCTAGGCTCAGAGGTAACTGGAAAATGGGACTGCACCCCCCACCACATAGGATGCTGCATAGCAGGGTGCGTGAACACAGCCCCAAACAAAGTCACATGTATTGCTCATACGCTCACACATGAGAACATGCCTGTCATGGGCTCAAGCATGTGTACTTGACCCTTCCCTGATTCCTTGGACATCTCAGACCCTGGAAAAAAGCCAAGGACTCCTTGAGGGAACTAGGGAGGTCGTGGGTGTTTTCTTCGAGGTACTGGCAATATTGTGGTTACAGCAGTGTTGGTTTAACAACAGTTACAAAAATATACAGTATTTTTTGTCTCGTGTACTTTGTGTACTCATGTAAACATATAAAATATTAACACAAATATTATGCCACATTTCACAACTTAAAAATTAGAAAACGTTCCAAGAGCTTATTAATTTAGTCCCTCCCAGTGACTATGTATCCCAGACTCCCTGGGCAAGCTCATAATAATATCTGATGACCGTGTATGTTCTTGTATTGGTCTGAACATGGATCCTGATTTATTTGGGGATCAGAATATACTGTCCCAGGCCTAACGAGTACATCGCGGCCCCAAGAGGGAAGGAACCCGGTCCCTGGCTCAGCCCTCCCAGACCAAGCCTCACCGTGTCCAGTTGTACGAAGGAGGGGGCTGCCCTTCACTTAGGCACTTGAGCGTGGCTCCTTCTCTGCCAACATGCCATAGTTTCTGGTCTTCAAGGCCCCTCACTGAGGCCTCGGCAAGGACTGGAATTAGAGGTGGGAGGAGAAAGAATGGGAATGATGCCTCGGATCATGTGGTACCTGCAGGGTCCCCACCTGAAACTGCCTTCCTTGCCCCTCTCCATCCTATTCATCTACCGCCAAACCCAGCTCAGTCCCAGGTCACTGATGGCTCCTGGCCACATGGCTCCCTCCTCTCTCTAAGCTAGGAGTCCATATGGGTTTACCTGTGCAGTGAGCCTGTAAGTCCCTCAGGGTAGTGACGTCATACTTTTCCTGGACATCCTGTTGTACCTAGCATAGTGCTAGTCACAGAACAGGTGCTCAGTAAATGCTGTCTGACTCTTCAAAGGCTTAACAGTGCTACCAGGTCATTTGTTCATTTCTATTTTTTTTTTTACTTTTTTTTCTCCCTTGGAATTTACCTGTCTATATTTATTCATATTTTTCTTAAATTGACATGTGTTTGAAGTCCCCCCCCCAATAGCTTTAGGGCATACAAAGAGGTTTTGGATACATGGTTGCATTGTACAGTGGCGAAGACATTTACTTAACAAATACTTGTTGAGGACCTACAAATGCTGAAATAATGCCAAACGCTGAAAACAGTCTTATCCCCTCCCTGCCCCCCAGAGGCTTGAAATCTAATACTGGGAAAAGAATATCTACCATTTACTGAGTGCTGTTATTTATTTATTTATTTTGGATTAATTACGTAATTTATTTTTGTACAGACAGGGTCTCACTATGTTGCCGAGGCTGGTCTCAAACTCCTGGTCTTAAACAATCCTCTTGCCTTGGCATCCCAAAGTGCTGAGATTACAGGCATGAGCCACCACCATGCCTGGCCCTGATATGCTTTCAGTGTGCTAAGCACTGTGCAAGTTGCTTTGCATTCTTGACATCTAATTATCATCAAAATCCTGTAAAGTTGGTAAAATACTCATTTTGCTGATGATGAATTGAAGATCAACAAGATTAAATAACAGCTAGTAAATAGAACCAGGGCTTGTCCAAGTCTGTTTGTCTTCAAACGCTACATGTACATTTTTTTTTTTATAAAGATGAGATCTTGCTATGTTGCCCATGCTGGTCTCCAAATCCTGGCCTCAAGTGATTCTCCAGCTTCAGCCTCCAAAAGTGTTGGAATTACAGGCATGAGCCACCATGCCTGGCTTATTTGGATTTTGTTTTTGTTTTTGTTTTTGTTTTTTTTTTTTTTACTTAGTCTCACTCTTTTGCCCAGGCTGAAGTGCAGTGGCACATTCACGGTCACTACAGCCTTAACCTGCTGGGCTCAGGCGATCCTTCTGCCTCAGCCTCCCAAGTAGCTGGAACTATAGGCAAGAGCCACCACAACCAGCTAATTTTTTTATTAACTGTAGCGATGGGATCTCGCCAAGTTGCCCAGGCTGGTCTCAAACTCCTGGACTCAGGCAATCCTTTCGCCTCTGCCTCCCAAAGTGCTGGGATTACAGGCATGAACCACCATGCCCAGTGTATATACAACTTACAAAGTCCTTTGAATTCCTTGTTTATCATGGATTCTCCTGACACCCATGAAACAGGGCAGTCTTTGTTGTGAAGACAAGGGTGATGAAACTCAGAGGGGTCTGGCATCTGGGGTCGGGCCCCAGGTCTTCCATCTTTGGACAACAGGTGCTCTCACACACACTGCAGCCTCCAGGCCCTAGGTTGGCCAGTCCAGAGTGGCTCAGGCCCTGCCATCTTGCCAGGCCTCTCAGAACCCACATGGCCTCCCTCCCCATGCTGCCCAGCACTTACAAGCCACTTGGAGGATGTGGGTGATCCTTTGGTCCTGGAGCAGGCCAGGATGGGACACCACACAGGTGAGTGGCTGCCCGTTCATGCTGCGGCTGGGCACCAGGTGGAACTCGGAAGTGACAGCAGCAGAGCGGGAGTGAGCGAAGGAGCGGCTGGACGATGTGCCTTTGACCTCTGTGTCCCAGGTCACGCTGGGGGCCGGGCTGCCCTCGGCTGTGCAGGAAGCCGCCAGTGTCAGGCCCTGGCCCTCTTCTAGTGCTGGACCAGGATTCAGTGAGGGCAGGGGAGGCACTGCAGATGGAGAGGGCAGGGATCACAGGTCTGCACAACCCGTCGGGGGTTGCCCATCCCATTTCAGTTCTGCGAAAGTGCAGACATTCAGGGTACTTTCTTTCTCCTATTTCACAAAGACAACAGATGGATGGTAGAATTTCAGGTGCCTTTGTATATTTCTCCATTGTTTGGATTTATTTACTTATTTATTTATTTATTTAGAGTCGGAGTCTCACTCTGTTGCCCAGGCTGGAGTGCAGTGGCATGATCACAGCTCACTGCAGCCTCGACCTCCGGGGCTCAGGCGATCCTTCCACTTCAGCCTCCCAAAGTGCTGGGATTACAGGAGTGAGCCACTGCGCCCAACTTGAACTTTTTGCAATGAACATGGGTCATCTGTTTCACAAAAATAATGAGGTAATTAAAAAAACCCCAAGATATCATCTATATAATAGCAATAATAATAACCACCATTTAGTAAGCACTTACCATGTGCCATCATGCTAAACACTTTATAAACATTATCTCATTTAGTTCTGTCAACAGACTAGTGAGGTGGGTATTATTATCCCTGTTTTACAGGTGAGGGAACTGAGGCTCTGGAAGGTTAGACGACTGGTCCCAGGTAACCAGGTTTTAGATGACAGGGCCTGGGTCCTGGATTTGCACTCAGCGTTTTCTACCCTAAGGCTGCTGCTACAACCTTCATGTGATAAAGGGAAACTAATAAAAGTCTGTGTTTTTATCTTCAAAATATGAATAGCTCAAGCACAGAATGGAAAAAGCTTATCCTGACCATGGGTCCTGAGTTGATCACAGGTGTCCACAGTGCAAAGTGCTGGTTTAAAAAGGCAGTTGTGATCTCAGACCACATTCCCTGAAGGTGGGAAGGTATTAGCTCCACTGTCTTGAATGGTCACACCCTAGCTGGGCCTATATGTCCACTTCCAGCCCCCACATTAAAAAAAAAAAAACTATGGGGCCCAGATGGTGCAGGACTCAGTGTCCCTGGTGGAACTGTGGCAGGAAGCAAGACCGTGGCTTGGAGAGCGGGTTTGGGAAGGCATGACAAAGGACCTGGCTCTTTGAAAGGCTGCCGTGCAAAAGAGAGAGCACGCTGGCGCCATACTGCTCCACAGGGGAAGAGGGCCAGGAAATTTCAGGTGGTCTGGAAGGAAGCGCTTCCTAAAGAACGGACTCCTCCCCAGCCTTTGGGATTGCTTGGAGGACTCTCTGGGTTGGGTGCAAGGATGGACGGGCGGGAAGCTTCTCTCCCGGACAGGCCCGTTTCTTGTTCCTGCGCGTCCTCTGCCTCTGCGCATCCATCTCTGCTCCCCCTGCCGCCCGCTGGACCCCGGGCTTCCGCACAGCCGCGGCGGCCCCGACCCGGCGGCCGGCCCCACTTACCCAGCACTCGGAGCCGCAGCCGCGCCTGGAAGCTGCCGGCGGGGAAGGTGCTGACCCGGCACTCGTACTCGCCCTCGTCCGCCTGCACCGCGTTGCGCAGGAGCACCGAGCCGTCCAGGGGGTCGCGGGGCGGCGGCGGCTGCTCCACGCGGCCCTCGTAGGCCGAGCTCACGTGCAGCCCGTACTTGGAGTGCAGGAGCGCCAGCTCCTGGGCGCCCTCGCCCGCGTCCACCCGCGCCCATGCCACCTGCCCCACCTGCTCGTCGGGGTCCCCTCGGTAGACGCAAGGCAGCTTGGCGTCCTGGCCCAGCACCACCGTCACCAGGTCCGAGGTCTCCAGCTCGCCCGCGGGGCACCGGCCTGCAGGGGGCAGACGGGAGCGGCAGGGGTCGGGGCGCTGCCAGAGCCGGGAGCCGTCCGCGGGGTGATGACGGCAATGCAGCTCCGAAGCATCGAGTGCTTGCAAAGCGCGTTCGGTTCATTACCTCGTTAGCGCCACAGCACATTCCCGAGGGGTAGGCGTTATTATTGCCATTTAACAGATGAGGAAACTGAGACCCAGAGAGGGGAAGTGGCTTGCCTGAGGCCACACAGAGGACGTACAGAAGACTCACACCCCCTTGCAGCCTAGAATTGTATCCTGAGCAACTGCCAGGTGGGAGGCTATGGCAGGACCAGAGACCTCGGCGCCCCTGTCCTCAGGGAGATCACGGTCATCAGGGAAATGGAAGTTGTACACACAGAAACGGGAAAGCCACCAACAAACTTTCACAGGAGGCTCAACCTACCGAGGCGGAAAAGTGAACGCTTTCAGGATGTGACAGGGAGCTACGGCAAGGGTCCAGACTGCCGGTGTCTGGGCCGGGGTTCGCAGGGTGGGAGGGGTCTGCCCTGTGGGCCCTTGGGAACATTCTTGTCGTGGCTTGGAGGTGAGAAACCTGGGTTCCCAGAGTGCAGGAGGTATTCCATGTGGGAGGAATGGCATGAGCCGGGGTGCAGAGGCAGGAATGAGCAAGTCACCGAAGACAGAAAGGGCCCAGGTCAGAGGCCCGCAGAGATGAAGTCAGAGCAAGCCCAGGGTGACAGGGGCAGAATGGCAAGCCAGTATCCAAGGACGAGGGACAAAGGGCTCGTGTTTGGTGGACTGATGAGAGCAGCGGGAAGCATGCAGGGATTCTGGAATTAGGGATCTCCATTGTGTAACCCCCTCTGCAAATAAGCAGATGCTCCCTGCCCTCATGGACACTGAGGTCAGCCCGGAGGCAAGAAACACATATGGAAACACGTGATGATAGTTCTGATTTAGTGCTCAGTGGGGTCACCCCTGGCATCCATTCCCACCTCATCCCAAGACATGAGGCTCAAAGTGGCGGCACTTAGAGATGAGGTCACTGTCCCTCCAGGTGAGGGCAGGTGCTGCAGACCAGTTGCAGGATGGGTCAGTCACTGTGGGACCAAGTCATGTGGGAGGGTCCTGTGTACGGTAGAATTAGGAGTGGGAGAGACCTGCAAAGGCATTCCAGGTAAGGGACCAAGGTGAGCAAACATTGAGGAGGTGGAGAGGCTGGCCTGTTCAGAAAGCAGAGCGGAGAGGCCCAGCCTAAGGCAGGATGCATGTGCTGAGCAAGAGAGGAAAATGTGCCTGGGCCAGGGTGGGGCCAGGTCACCTGGGACCTCCCATGCCTGGCAGGGCCTTGGTCAAGAGGAAGTGGGAGCTGCTGAAGTCTCCTTAGCCAGGGAGTGAGGCAAACGGTGAGGTGATGGGAAGCGGGAACACGTGCTAGGAGGCTGCAGCCCGGCACGGTGGCATCAGCATGGGGTGTAGGGGACTGTTCCTGGAGGAGACTGGACGGGGACTTGGTCCCTGGTCAGAAAGAGAGAAAAGGGAGAGGAAAGACCCCAAGATGAGTAGCTTCTGAGGGGTGCAGGGCCTGAGGGAGCACACGGTCAGGAAGGAATCTATTTGGAGTCAGAGAATCCAAAGCGAAATGCAAAGACTGGGGCTGGGGCAGAGCAACAGGGCACTCAGGGATGGCCAGAGCTCCCTGCCGCTGGGTGCACACCCCAGCAACTCCCAGCCGTGTCCGCCCTGCCTCTGCCCAGCACTGCACACACCCTGCTGTTCTCACCTCTGCTCACACTGTGCCCCCTGCCTGGAATGTCCTCCTCCTGTGTCTGCTGCTCCTACTCATCACTGTCTGGGTAACTCCTACTCATCCTTAAGGCTGTGCTTAGGCATCGCTTCCTCCCGGAGCCCTGCCCCTCCCCCACCTCAGGCGGCACCGGGTGCCCTTCCTCCAGACTCCTCAGTTCCCTGCATTACCCCGTCCTAGCACCTTATCCCTGTGTTCTTGTTTTATCAGATTGAGCTCAAGAGTAAAAGCTCTCATCACATATGGAACCATGGTTTCTGATTTAGTGTTCAGTGGTATGTAGTCTCTGTTCCTGGCACGTAATTGGTGCTCAATTAACATGTATCGACTGAGCGAATGCATGAATGTACAGGTGAATGAATGAAGGATAAAAATGGGCAGTAGTAGGAAAGAGTAGAATGAGGAGCGAGTGGTCTTCAGTTGGGCTGGGCAGGGAGGGCGCGTGGGCATGACGGCCTTGGGCTGGGCAGGGAGGCAGTGGGCTGGTGGGTTGGGTTCACTGCCTAAGGGAGCACCTCCAACCGGACAGAGAATGAAAGGAGGATGGAGAGAGGCAGGCATGGAGGGAGGAAGTGACGCCCCACTGGCGCAGACCAGAAGTTTCAGTGAGGCAGAGCGTGGAGCAGAGAAAGGGGGGTCCTGTGGCCCTGCCGGCAGGATAGAGGGAGGGAGGATGCTGTTGGGTGCTGGGAAGGCCCGGATGGGGCAGGACAGACCTGCAGGGCCAGATACCAGGGCCCTGACCTGCCTAAGCTGATGTCGGTCCCACCCAGCCCAGCCTGAGAGTCCAGCTAACCACCCGCACCCCTCCCAGGTGCCTCCTTCTGGCACTGGTAAGAGCAGGGCTGCCAAGGAAGGGCGGGGAGTGGGTTTTGGGCAGGGGCTCCCCAGCACAGCACACTTTCTGCTGCAGACATTGGTGTCTATGCTGGTCACAGGGATCCCAAGCCCTGTCCCACTGGAACATGCAAACCCTTCTATAGACTGTTTCTGGGACAAGGCAGATGACATCTTTTCCATCCCTATTCCTTGACTTGCCAACCACCTGCCCCCTCTCCACCACTAATCACCCATATTTCCCTCAGAAACCATCTCAGGGCATAGCCGCCATTGAGTACTCAGCACGTGTCTGAGTCTCGGTCCTCCATGCTCCCACCTATGAGTCCAAGGTCCCCACTCCCAAGGGACAACTCCCAGCTTTGCAGAGTAAGGAACCCAGTAAGACAGGAAATTCCCTCTGGGTCTCTCCCACAGCCCCCCATTGTCCTACATCTACCTGGGGTAATGCCCTCCTCCAGCTGCACCCCACCCCCCACACCCACCAGGCTACAAGAGAAGAGAAAATAGAACTTGGGCCTAGGATAGAACAAGGGTCCTTGGCTAAACAGACCCAGGAGTCCAGGCTCCCAGGCCAGAGCAGTCCAGGACCGTCTCTTCCTCCTCTCCCCCACCCAGTGCTGACCTGGCGTCAGCATGGTGATGTCATCACAATGGAGACACACTGCCTGCCTGGTGAGGTCACCATGTGGCATGCGGTGGCCAGGTCAGGCCAAGCCCATGGCCCCTTCTGCTGCAAATTGTTTGCTGAGGCTGGTGGACTCTGGCTAGTTGGGCACTCCTTCTTCTGATCCCCCCACTCCTCCTCCTGGGAGCACCAGGACGCTGGTCAGGAGCCTTGGTGACTCAGAAGCTGCTGCACAGCAGCAAGCCTAGCCGTAGCCGCCACCACCTTGCGCAAGGAGAGAACAGGCCCGACTGGCCAGACTGGATCCCTGCCCTTGGCCTCCCCCACCCTGGCCAGGCCCCCACGGGCCTCTTTGGAGCCCAGCCCTTTGTGTACCCCGCCCGCTCCCAGACAGGCCCTCCATTCCTGGCTTGGGCTGGCAGGCTGCTCCCCACCCTGTGCCTGAGTCTCAACTTCCCTGTGTGAGGCCCAGCCTCTAGCTCAGGAGGGGAAACGGAGGCTGGCACTTGCGGAGACCAGCCACGGACAGCATCTTTCAGGAAGCATCTTTTCTTTATGAGGGACCGTTCTCCATCAGTACCCCCTGCTAGTACTTACAGGGGTACAAATAGGGGTCCTGGAGGTGGGTCTGTGGGAAGGAAGAAGGGAGTGAGTGTGAGTTTTGTGGCTGAATGAATGGGCATCTGTGGTGAGGGCCTGGCCAGTCTTGGTGCTGGCTCCCATGCATGTGAGGCTATCTCCTTGCATGAACTTGGGGGTGTTTGGCACACAGGTGTGTTCCTGTCTTCTCCTGGGAGAGTGTATGGACTTGTCATGTCCAGAGGGAAGAGCTATGTGTTGTGTGTGGAACATGTGTGCACACACTATGCCATGTGCTCCTCACATCCCATGTGCATGCATGCCTTCTTGTCTTGCGGAACTCTGTGCATATAGTAAATATTTTGCTGTTGGTTTTTCTTGGCTTCCGCGTGCCTACCTTGGTCAGTGGTGTGTGGCTCTGAGCCTTTGCCTCTGCATTCTGTCTGGAATGTCACCCCTGGCATCCCTCCCCACCTCACCCCAAGACTTGAGGGCAGATTCATCTCAGGTTCAAAGCAGAGGTACCCAGAGATGAGGTCACTGTCCCTCCGGGTGATGGGAAATTGCCATCGTGAGCTCCCCAACAGAATGAAACAAAAGCTCCTGCCCTTGCTCCTCAGGTTCCTACGGACAGGACTCCTACCCTTCTCACCACCACCCCCAGCCACTCCTTCAGGCCCCTCACACCCCCGGCCCCCCAAGGAGGCCTCTCCAGGAGAACCTCTGTCAGGGCTCTGTTGCTGCCACCACCAGAAAAACCAGCTCCTGCTCCAGGCCCAGTGTGAGTGCTGTCTGGTGTGGGTTTAGTGGGGGGGGGGGGGCTGCCTGAGGCTGGGGGAGGGGTTCAGGCTCTGGGGGTTCATTCTCCTTTGTTAACTCTTGCCTACCCTAACCCTATAGCAACAGGTTCCACCAGAGAGAGCTTTAGTATGTGGGTGAGTTTGGGGTGAGAAAGGACCTGGGAGGGGAGCACCGAGGCTCCTCCCCAGAACAGGTGATTTGCACAACCAGCAGGCCCCTTTTACTCCACCCTTTCCCCCATAACCTTGGCTTGGAGTGCGAAGGACCTTTAACAACCAGAAGGTTCTCCCTCCGCCTTCATCCACTTCGCTCACTTACCCCCCATTGTCTTAAGCCCCCCAGATTAGTGAGAGCTTCCCAACCCGGGCAAAGCGCCCACCCAGATTAGTGTCTGGGGAGGGGAGCCACACCGATCACAAAGGGGGCTGAGAACAATGGGGGAGGACAGGCCTTGAGGCAGCCCCAGCTCTGGCCCAGACACAGCTCCCAGCACAGATAAGTCCCCTAACCCCCCCGGAGCCAGAGTCTGAGCCGGGCTGAGTCACCACAACAGCCACACTGTGGGTGGGAGACCCAGAATTCGGCTTCTCCCAAACTCCTGAGATCCTAGCCCACGCCCCCCCATGCCACCCCTCCACCCATGCTGGCCAGCTCTGCCCCACCCCAGATCACAGCCTCAACCCCAGCTCTCAGACACACCAGCTTTAGGGGCGGGGGTGGGGGGTGGGGGAGTGGTGGCCAGAAGACTATGGGAAAAGTTCCTGAGGCCATGGGTTCCCTGTTCCAGTGAGAGTGCTCCCTGCCTGCCTTCTCCACAGCCTCTCTCCAGGAGTATGGCGGAGAATCTGAACTCCACCTCCTCATCTTAGATTCTGTTCTCAGATTCAGACCTCTATTCTCCTCCTGACTCAGTCTTCCCCCAGCACCTCCATCCCTCCCCTCTGCCTGTTCTTTGGGCAGTGCAAGAGCAAGTTTTGGAGGCCAGAAAACCCAGGCCTTCTCTCTTCAGCTTGTTTCGCGCAACTGACCCGCATTCACTCTGCCTGGGGGACCCCAGGATCCCGATGCTGTGGTCCACAAATGGGTCCATAAGCGCACCACCATCTCTGTGGCTGAGATCTCCTTAACTCAGGCCCCTTAAACAATAAGGCAGGACCAAGGTCACTGGGGCCACAGGATTCCCTGAGATTCTCCTGGTCCTCACAACCTTAGGCAGGGAAGCTACCCTTCCTCACTGGCTTTCCTGGCTTCGAGTAGATCCCTGCTCCCCTCTGTAAACAAGAGTAGAAAAGCAGGGATGGGCCCCTCCCTTTCTAGGAAACTAACTTCTGACAGGAAGCTAACCCTGGTCCCCAGAAGGCAGACCTCAGTATTCGGAGACCCACTCACTCTCTGGGCCCAGACAAAGAGCTAGGGACTAGGATCCTGTGCAGGGGGTGTCTCATAGATTTGGGCCCCTCAGCCCTGGGGCAAGCGATGGGGGAGGGAGAAGGGAGGGGACCTCACCCGGAAACTCATCCCATTAAGGAGAGACAAAGAGCTGTGGTGTCAGGCGCCTCCCAAGCCTGGGCTCCTCTCCCTGTCAGGGGTGGGGCAGGGCCCTGGGGCTCAGAGCTCTAATGGCCCAGGAGTTGGGGTGGGGGTGCAGCAGGGCCCAGAAAGGCCACATCCTGGAGAAAGGTCCTCTGGTCCCTCTGAGAGATGGGGCCAGGGCCCTTTCCCCCTTCTGTCTCCACAGCCAAACTGAATGACTCTAATACCCCAGCACTCCCCTTCAGCCTGGGGCTGGACAATCACAGATCATAGTATTTCAGAGCTGGGAGATCCATCAAGATCATTTGGCCCTAGCTCTTGACCTACTGAAGTCTAGTGTCTTCCTTTCTTTCTTTTTTTGAAACAGGGTTTCCACTGTGTTGCCCAGGCTAGTCTTGAACTCCTAGGTTCAAGCAAGCATCCTGCTCTGCCTCCCAAAATGCTGAGATTACAGGCATGAGCCACTGTGCCTGGCCTCAAGAAGTCTAGCTTCTTAGTTGCCCAAAGTCATCTAACAAATAACTAGCAGAAAATTGGGTCTGAACCCAAGACTTTGGGTCTGAACCCAACCCCGGTCCAAGGACTTTTCAGAGACATGAAACACCTTAGATTCCTGGGGGCCATTAAGGAGGTGTCTATCCACAGAAGAGCAGCAATGGGGAAGGTGATGGAGGAGGGAGACCATCTACTCCCCAGGCTAGGAGTCCACAGCCTGTGGAGCCACCCCAGCTCTGCAGGTCACACAACAGCCCAGGAGGCTGTCTCCCACTAGGCCCCTGCTTCCTGGGGTAACCCTGGAGCCAGGATCCCTCCTCTACCACGACACTTCTCAGTTGGGCACTGGACAAAGTCAGGGGTAATTTCCTAACTAGAAGGGGTCTCCTTTCCCCTCCCCCAGGCTTGTCTTAGAGCAGTTTGCTTCATGGAAAAAGAAGGCAGTGTCCGTGTCTTATTCACCACTGCAGCATCTAGTGCTCTGCAGCATCTAGTGCTCTGCAGCATCTAGTGCTCTGCAGCATCTAGTGCCTGGTCGTACCCAGGTACATGCAAACATACTATTCTTTAATGAACTAGGAGTCAGAGGCCAAGACACTGACCCTGGTTATGCTTCTGACACTGAGTAATCTTGCAGATCTCAGTTGCCTGTTTTTCTGTTTTTCCATCTGTAAAATGAAGGAGTTGTACAAGGCATGGTGGCTCACACCTGTTATCCCAGCACTTTGGGAGACTGAGGTAGGAGTATTGAATGAGGCCAGGAGTTCAAGACAAGCTAGACAACATAGCAAGACCTCATCTCTATAACAAAATAATTAGCCAAGCATGGTAGTGTGTGCTTAGAATCCCAGCATTTTGGGAGGCTGAAGCAGAAGAACTGACTGAACCCAAAGGTCAAGACTGTGGTAAGCCATGATTGTGCCATTGCACTCCTGCCTGGGCAACAGAGTAAGACCCTGACAAACAAACAGACAAATAAATGAGGGAGTTGGAGTAGCGATCTCTTTGATCCCTCCAAGTCCTGAAAGAGCGAGTCTCCATTCTTCAGGTGTGGGTAGATCTCACAGGACAGGGACTTCTGGGTTTCCTGATCCCAGCGGTCAGATCCCACCCTATTGGACCAAGTAAGAGAGAAGGGAGCCGGGCTTGGTGGCTCAGCCTGTAATCCCACGCTTTGGGAGGCCGAGGTCAGTGGATTGCCGGAGCCCGCGGGTTCGAGACCCACCTGGGCAACTGGTCGAGAACTCATCTCCACAATAAATCAAAAATTAGCGCGCACCTGCAATTCCAGTAACTTGGAAGGCTGAGGCGGAAGGATCGCCGGAGCCCAGGGGGTCGAGGCTGCAGTGGCCGGGAGCGGCCACTGCACTCCAGTGTGGGTGACAGAGTGAGACTCCAACTCAAAAAACAAAAACAAAAAAAAAAGAGAGAAGGGTTGTCTGGAAGATGGGAGTTAAGGTGCAGGGTGGGAATAGAAGGGGGGTGGCAGGGGAAAGGGCTTAGTATCCTGTAATTAGAGCGAGATCAGGGTGAGAGCAGCCCCATTCCTGCCATCCAGACATCTAGGCCTGGCTCCCTCCTGAGAGCCCCAACTGTGTACTAGGTGGGGGGAATCACTGATGGGGTCTGTTGGACAATTGAGGCCCCTGGGGCTAAGAAACTGTCTTATCCAGCTAGGGCCCTATATTTCTAAGGAGGAAGATTTCTCAGTGGCTCATGACCCTAGGAGGGGCCTCTGGAATCCCACTGCAACCTCACTATACACACAGACTCTCTCCCGCACTCTGCAGATTAGAAATTCCTTTCATTTGTGTCTGTTCTCTCTATATTAAACAGGCAGGATATGAAGAGTCATACAAGGCACCTACTGGAGAAAATGGGGGGCAGAAGAGAAACAAAAGGGGACCACACCCTACAAGGTACCCTAGCTCAGACCCCACCCACCTCAACCCCCTTATTACCATCCTAGCACCTAACACTGTGCCTAGGAAGAGCCAGGGGCTCAACTATGCTTTAGTCCCCAACAAGTGTCCAGTCCTGGTACATAATGGAGAGAAGAGAAGGAGACAAATGCCCATCCACTGTCTGGGCGTTGAGTTTCCTGCACCCTGATGACTGCAGAGACCAGCTCAGCCCTGAGTCAGCCCCAGTTCCAGACAGCAGTCCTGGAACCCGGGGGTAGACCAAGGAGCCTCCAGGAAACCCTGGGATGAACCGGGTCCTCACACATTTCACCTTTCTGCCCACTTGCACAGGTCACCATGTCTGTTCTCCCAGAGACAGCTCAGGTCTAAGCAAGGATTTGGCAGAGGTAGGCAAGGATCCCAGACAGAGTGACCTGGTCGGGGGCTGGGAGGGACATGAAGGGGAAAGCTACACTGGCTCTTCTGGGAGCACCACTGGGCAGTGAAGCGTGGGAAAGAGAGACTGGCTCCTCAGCTCAGAGTCAAAGGAAAGAGAATGTTTGCCTGTGTGCGGGTGTGTTTGCGTGTTCGTGCGTGCGTGTCTGTGCCCAGTTGGCCTTAGAAGCAGGCAAGGGTCCTGATGGTTCAGGCAAGTCCTACCTGTAAACGATGCCAGCAGCAGCAGCAGCAGCCAGGCCTCAGGCCCCCACATCTCGGCTCCCAGGGACAGGGGCATTGGCTGAAAGGCAGACCTGCCCAGCGTCTCTGAAGTTCCACCGAGTTCTCCCTGGGAGCCGGCTCTCCAGCTGGGTAAGGCACCGACTGGGAAGGCAGGAAGCCGCAGAGTCTCTGCCTCACGCACCTGGGTCTCCACTAGGGGACCCGGCCCCGGTCTGCCCACCCAGCCGGAGCTATCCCCAAGAAGCCGTGATTGGGAGCTCCGAGCTCCCCCAGAGCTGCTTCCCACGCCGTGGCCAACAACGACGGCAGAAACCTGGGAACCTGCTCAGCAGGTCAGAACAGGTGCGTCTCCGGGGGCTGGGCCTGGCGGAGACTCAGCAGCCGCCGCCCCCACGGCCCAGGCTAGCTAGCTAATGGGCGCCAGGGAGGGAGGGAAAGAGGGAAGGATCTGGGTGGGGGCACTGGGGTCCCATCCCCAGCTACAGGTTTTACTAGCGGGTGTGTGGAAGGGGCTGTGGAGGGAGCGGCAAGGGCTGGGGAGAGGGGCGGAGGCACCAGGCCAGCTCAGGATGAACGGGGCAAGGCCCTTGTGGGTGGCAAGGAACCCAAGCGTCCCACACCCGGCTAGCCTCACTGCCTCCTGTGGGCCTTGACAAGTTCCGCAGTTTCCTGGAGGGGCTTGGCTTTGGAACCACAGATCAGAGAAGGCCAGAACTGAGGGTTCTGTCGACAAAAAATGAGGCCCAGACAGGGGCAGGGATCTGCCAAAGAATACCCAACTTAGTATCATGGTTTGCTCAGACACTTCTACCCCTGAGGCAGGGAGCTAGTTCAAAGACCCTTGAGCTTAAATGACTGCCCTGATTCTCAACCCTATGGAGAAGTCAAGGGACTGACCAAAAAACCAGCCCACAAATTCCTGGCTTTGCTGTTGGGGCCCCTCTGAGCTTCAACATCTTAGCCAGGAGTTCCAAAAGTGCAGCAGCACAATTTGAGCGAAAAGAAGTTCCTTTTCACCCTCTCCAGGATCATTTTACTTCTTTTACTCCATGGTCATTGGACAAGACCACATGCCTGGACTTTGCAAGGACAATCTTGACTTCAAATGCTCTGTCCCAGTATTCCTATAAGTATACTGGTCAGCCCATGTGTTTCCATTTTGGATGCATAAAATGTGACCATCAAGTTACATAAAAGTTTACTGGCCTATATGGGGTAGCCAGAGGAAGGGAGCATTATCTGAGCCCCCTGAAAATTTAGTGAAGGGGAGGGGCAAAATCACTTGCAGACTAGGGCTAAAGAAACAGGTAAATATAGAGACAGTCATGGAAGAAGAAAATATATACAGGTGGGAATCTCACAGCAGGGCCCTGCAGTCTGGAGGGGGCAGGAAGGAAGACTCAAGAAGCAGTAAGACATTCATCTTATGTAGAATGTCCTCCACTGCCATCCCACCAACTCCGCCTTTCAAATTCATATTCCTCTCTCAAAGCTGACCTCAAATGCCACATCTTCCATGAAGCCTTCTCAGCTCCTCCCACCCAAAATTAATCTTTCTTCTATTCTTCCTCAGTCTTTGCTAGTCCCTTTATTATAGCTTATGTGCTCATAATTTGTGCACATCTTATCTCCTTAGCAAAATTGTAAGCTTCAATTCAAGAAACATTGATTGAGGCCTGCTGTGTGCCAGAGATTCAGTAAATACGTTAAACTGAGGGACAGGAAGAGAGTTGTAGTCTGTGAACTCCTTGAAAGTTGGGCTTATTTTATAATACTGTCTATCATCCATGTGAGGACAGTCCACAGCACTTTATGGGAACTGAATTCATTCCCAGTGAATTCATGAAGCCATGAATTTCTGAATATATGAATGTCAGGATGGAAAAACAGTAAAGAAGGATCAGAAAAGTGGAGGTCTTGACTGACGGTGAGTTACTATCCTGGACTTTACACCTGTCGCCAGACTATGACCCCAATTCTGGCTCTAGATCCCAACCCCTAGCAATGACCATGACCGTGGCCTCTTCTTCAGGGGCTATTTCCTGCTGATGAAGGGTAGCCCTAAGGGGCAGGCCAGATGCCAAAACGCCCCGGTTTCTCTCCACCTCCGACTTGGCAAACCCCTTCCCCTCTTCAGGACTCAGGCCCCCACCTGTGCCAGGGGAACAACCCCACCCAGATGCTGCTTTGAGATCCACTGTTGCAGGGTGGGGTAGGGCAAGCGGGAAAGGGATGGGGGAGCACCCTGTGTTATAATTATAATTATCACACCCTGGATCCTATCGCATGCTTTCAGAGGAGTTCCTACCCTTCCCACGGATTCACCCTCAAGGTACTACAGGAAACCACAGGAGAAACTGAGGCATGGGGGTGGGAAAGCAGTTAGATCACAAGGGTCTCCAGTCTCCTTCAGCCTTTCCATTTACAATTGCTTTTTCTCCAAAGTGCTACCAGTCAGGGCGTCTCTGAGCCCTTGGGACCCTCAATCATACATCCCTAACTCTATCCATATGGAGTATGGAAGGGAGGCAGAACTTTCCAGAGTTGGTGTTAAGATATGACCATACCAGCCGGGCTCGGTGGCTCAGCCTGTAATCCCGTGCCTTTGGGAGGCTGAGGTGAGTGGATTGCCTGAGCCCGCGGGTTCGAGACCCACCTGGGCAACTTGGCAAGACCTCATCTCTACAATAAATCAAAGAAATATTAGCTGGGCATGGTAGCGCATACCTGTATTTCCAGCTACTTGGAAGGCTGAGGCAGAAGG